AGTTAAATGAGTTACAACAACACCTAATTTCCCTCTGGGATCAATAAAGTATTTTTGAATTTTTGAATTTTGAATTGAATATATTGTCAATATATAGTCACCTGGTGGATAAGTGACACACACATGAATAAAATGTGCAGCTTTCACCATCAGCTGTTAACATTAACATTGATCAATAACATTTTAGACCTCTTGTTAGTGCTTCTAAATTTAGCCTATAAATTTAACAAGTGCTAATCCACTAATAAATCTTAAAATTAGCAAAAGCCCTAAAGCACTAATCAGGAATTTAGTTCCCCTATTAGTGCTTTAGTGCTTTAGGGGAACTGTGCCCACCACTGATTTCCAAACAAAGAAAAACAGATAATTACAGAAATAATTACAGAAATAATTTCATGTATACATATGGAGAGTAGTGAGAGTAAAAAAATAGCATAACTGAAGGATACTTCAAGAAATCCAAACCAAATCTAACCAAACCTGTAGGATTTATAAATAAGGAAAGCTTTTAGACAGGTCTTAAAAGTACATAATCAGATCCATGGTTAGACACTGGAAGCTGGTTCCACAAACGTAGGGCCTGAAACTTTAGGAACCACGGTAAACCCATAGTCAGAGAGTGAAACATTATCTTGGGAACATATGCAACAATAAGGTCCAATATATATGGACCTTGGTCAGTGAGAACTTTGTATGTTAATAGTTTGATTTCAGTGTCGATATCCATCAGGCTGTTCTTTGCTGTAGGATCTTTCCTTGCTCTCTTAAACATCTTGAGTCCTCTGTTTCTGTGTCTCAACCTCAAAGCTCTCATTGCTGTGSGGGTTGGSGTCAGCTCGGGTCGRCGACCTTCTGATTCTGGAGTGGATCAGTCTTTTTAGAGCCACTAGGGGGATGGAAATAACAGGCAGCACACAGAGGAGTACAATTATGACGAACACCCACTCTGGATATGACTTCACCTCAGTATGAGGGAAATATTCCTAAAGAGAAAAAAACATGTAAACAATTAATAGATGTCATTATAAAATTTAGGGTAATTTTTGGTACAATAAAACAAACAGGTGTGTTAATATAAACTAAACATATTGTAGACTCTTGTACACATCCCTTTACATAGGTGAACAAACAGTCACTGGTATAATTACATTCAGATATAAGGTAGCAGAGCAAAGATATTCAAACTGAGCTACATGAACCCACAGCTGAATGATGTGAAATGCATCTTTTCTTTTAAGATGGAAAACTGTTCAGAGACCCAATAAAATGAACCTGAATTAAATGCAAAGTGTTGCATTTGTTTTGATTCAAAACTATAATACTGTTGGAAGCAGCACTTCTACAGTTTTTTTTTTTTTTTTTTTTTTTGCTTGCTTTAAACTCCTAGTGCCATTCTTACAACTTTAAAGCTTTCTAAAAATCTGTATAGAAATTAAGTAAAGACGAGTAACATAAAACCTAGCATGGATTTGATTCTGCAAACGCAAAAGTGGCTAAGATGGTGTAGTAGTAGCTAATCACCCCTAAAGCATAATCTGAGTGCAAGGAGGTCACAGTGGTGGAAGATTGACATTTATTAATGTGCTTGTGGTATATTTTATGTCCTATCCCTTTAAGAAATGTGAACGAGCGTCAGCTCGTGGGCGTGCGACCGGAGCGCGCATGAAGGCGGGCACGCGCTTCTTTTGTTCAGAGTTCTTCATACGATCTAGCTGTTAGCAACCTCTCTTTATGTCTCTCGTCAATAAACATGTCCATCAGCTGAAGAATCGTCTTTCGTCATTCAAGTGTTAGCTGAGAGTCAACAGCTCAAAGGAAGAAGCCTTGTGATTTTCCAGCAGCTTACAGGCAAGGACGCTCCAGCGAAACCACTGAAGAAACAGCAGCATCAGACTTGAGCAGACGGAGGGGAGCAGACAAAGAGAGAGAGACGGGTCCAGCAGTAGACGGAGCCCCAGAAGAACCGAGTGGACCGAGACTCAACAAAATGGCACCACGAACCAGGCCTGTGTAACCATAATAAGGTTAATATTGAATTAGCAGGGGTCTATCGGCCGTGGACTCTCTGTTTATTTAATTTTTATGCCTTATGGACTCAGGGAGGGGAAAATACAGTGGCATCAATGTATGTTCTTTGCAACACACCACATTTTTCAGAGCAAAAACTTGCAAACAAGAGCCCTTGAG